TTTCTGAAGATGCCTTGCACATGGGATCGCATTTGGTGTGCACGAGTCCATTACAAAACTGAACTAACGACGTTAAATAGGAAGAAAAACAGCAAAGTCAACAACATTGATAACAGTGATTGTAGTTGATAATATTAGTGGTGATAATAGCCTTAACAGATAACAAGTTGACAGGAGGTGAACCATCTTACTAGTAATCTTACCATTTGGCAAAATCGTCATATTTTTATTTTAAGACATAATTCATTTTGCTAACCTTTTATTTACTGCCTATTGGAATTTTTCATGGGCAATACGTGTGAAACAACCACAACGATGCTGAGATATTTGCAAAAGCCCAGACAGCAGGTGTCTGCGGTGGGGAACGAACGCGCTATTACTCTTTCCAGGGGCTAACGCATTCACCACCACACTATGCGGATCCTTCGTTATATCGTCAATGTTTAATTTTCTTTACTACCTATTTCTCTTCATGGAGTGCAGTTGTGTTAAATGCAAACACAGTGGTGCTGAGATATTCGGAAAGCCCAGATCCCAGGACAGCTTCAGACCCACGACTACCATTTCCGGGGTTTCACGTGTCACCCATTGCACTACCGAGGCCCGTTCTTTGCCTTTTCTTAGCCAGTCTTTTACCCTAGCGGTGCTATCACTAATCAGTCGCTGGAGTAAAAAGATTTGCTGAAAGACAAAGCAAGGTCCTCGGCGGTGCAATAGGTAGCAGACAAGCTACCGGAAAAAAAATTTCGAAGCTGGGCTAGGGTCTGGGTTTTGCAACTATCTCATCATCACTGCAGTAACATGCTCAATATTCCAAAAATCGAGTTGTCCTTATCCTCGGTATAACCAATCAACATGTATTCCTTCATTGATCAGCTAACATGAGGTCTATAAAAAGCTTTGTTCTGCTAACGTTTAGGCCCGTTCGCATTCCTAAGAGCCGGATTGATCCTTGTCGATTGTACACAGTCCTTCCTTCTGTCGAGCCGAATGAAATTTCTTACAGACCTTCGGTTAACTAGTCAATTAATGAATGTCACTGTCGTGACTCCTTTTTCCGAATTTCGTACACCTACAGTTTTGCTCTTCGCTAAAGTTTAATGGTTTTTCCACATAACAGTTCCTACGACCGACTTTCTGTTAACCTCGGCAATGCGCTATGAATGCGTCGTTCTCTTTTTTTTCTTCTTTTTCTTTTGCATATCAATATACCATTCCAGGCTCTGAAGAAGGCGATACTGTCTAAACGACAGCTACCGTTGTGTTGTATGGTGTTTTTTTTTGAACAGAGATAAACGCATGCTGTATAACAACCTCGCGATTGTTGAAATAGAAAACGACGCATTTTTGCATAACGCCCAACGCTTAGACCTTCATGGATGCTGCAATTCTAATTTTGTATTAGCTACAAATGTGCTGGTTTCTAGGCAGCAAAGAAAAAAAAGGTAAAACTCTTGGCCGTAATCAATCCCCGAGGGAAGCGCCATGCATTCAACCTTATCGAGCATTGTTGGAGGTGATTGAATGCATATCTAGCCTTTAAAATGGCTCGCTGTGGTTTACCGATGTGCCGAGCCAGTGACTGTATCCTCTTAGACAAGTTTGGTACCAATTTGTCGACCCCCGGAACGATGGAACGATTGGTGAGCCACGGGCGCGAGGATCGATCATGCGCGTCTGTGGCAGAACACCTCCGACTACTGCGCCACGCGCACCCTTTTAGGAAATAAACACTAATTTTTCAATGAATGGAAGGCAACAGAGTTGAGATCATGACGAAATTATAGAGCAGACTTTACTTATTGCTTCTATGGATGGTATTTATGCTACTATTTTCTGAAAAATACTATGATCCACTACACAGAAGCGAAGATGTGGTACTAGAAAACGTTTGACAGTTTATTTGTTCCTGTTGATCAATTTTTATACGCGTCACATTTCATGTGACAGTTAAACGATGCCACGTCTATCATATGTATACACACCTGACAAACTATTGTATGCATGTATACTTGTGTTTGTTGTCAAAAAACTTTATCTCTGAACCCCTATCTATGAGCTGGAAAAGCACGAAACTCAATAGTAAGCTGCAAAGTTACAAACGCTATCTAATACATGTAGACCCGCTAAGAATACGATACAGATAATATATAACAAATATCTCACATGGTAAGTAGGCTCCAGTTCACCATTGATGAGGCCCGCACCGAAATCCGCTCGAATTGGTAACAATCACGAAACGGACCACCCCCACGCCCGAAGAAACCCCACGGGCAGGGCGCCGAAACCCGCGACAAGGGAACCCAGACCTGGACAGTCGAGGGAACCTCGTCCTGAAACAGAAGGGTTGAGGATTGGTGCCACCACAGTACTTCATGTCAGTATTTCGAAATGCTCTGAAGCTTATTTTTTACCACATCTCTTCATCTCCTATAGCCGTCCATCCATGTTTTAGTCACGATTAATCATAGTAAATGGAATTCAAATAACAGCCAATTACGAGTCAAATTAGTTGCGTATAAACTCGTCCTAGGATATGTTTCTCGTGGGCTATTTAATGTAGATAATATCAATTCTCGAGAGACGCCTGCTGGAAAAGTTAACTATTGAGCACAAAAAGTGAGGTAAGGAATGGCGTAGTGAAGTAAACTATTGAAAACAGAATATATTGAATTCATATTCCATAAGGTGAGAATCTGAGACTACAAGTTAATATAAGATTAATAGGCGCAGGAAGCACCATGATTGGAGATGCCTTTCAGTGTTAAGTAAAAGGCAATGTTCGGTCCGTCCTGAGCCAACTAAGCTTCCTGTCACTCGGAGATCGGCGGCTTGGTACTAGACATGTCTGAGAAGCTCCAACCGACTTACAAAGCATGTTGGCTGCCTACAGCTACCAGGTTGAATCTACTCAACCAGTAGTCAACGACATTCATCAGGAAGAGTAAACCCTCGAGGAGTAGGAGACGCAAATTCAAAGTCTTTGGCGAGTGATAGCAAATAGAAGCGAAAGTAGTAAATTAATGAGAGAAATCCTCAATTTAACTTGGTTCAATACCGATTTGCAATCCCAGATCAATCCCGTTGACGGGCCACCGCTGACGGCACTGATCGATAGGAAATTAGCTGAGAGACAGGCGAAACGAAGAACAAGCGTGGTGTGGCAGTGAACGCGTTGGCACCCGGAAAGGGTAACAGCGCGTTCGTTCCCCACCGCGGACACCTGCGGTCCAGAGTTTTACAAATATCTTGGCATCGTTACGGTTGTATTTCACTTAGTACCCTGCCTTGAAAAATTGTAATAGGCGGCAAATAAAAAGTTAACATTGAGACATGACAGCTCAGAGACAAGAGAAGCAGTCATGTTTACACAAACACATCGAAGTCGACGCTTGTCGGTCATTATGTGAAAACATGAATTTGTACGGCATATATATGCACATTTTACAGTCTTATTATTATGTACTTCAGAAGCGCTTAAAGTCGTTTTATGTAAAATCCTTTAATAACTTCATTTCTGAAAACGATTCATGAGAACAGACTGAAGATTTCGATCTGCAGATATTGGCAGAATGAAGGACAAATTGGCAGTTGAAAGCGATCGAAAGGTTTTTATTGTATTCAACGATATTGATAGCTATTGTCATCCACCGTCGTAATCGCAAATCGCTCGTAATTCGTCGATCATTTTTTGTGAGATGCGCTCGTGGCGTGCAGACTGAAACTGTGTGCAGTAAATCCCAAGATCGACTTCCTCTTAACAGAGACATAATTCAATGTCTCTCTTGATAATCATACGTGAGATTGATATGACAGCATTTATTACTACAGAATAGTTGATGTTTCGACGGTTTCGCCTTCTTCAGAGGTTGCAAAGGTGGAACTAGCATGTAATCTACTCAGCCAAACATTTTCATAACCTTAGCAGACAAGACTTAACACATAAATTTGCGTTCGCGTAATAAACAGTTTCTTTTAAACACTCGTCGTTTCATCCTTGCAAGTCTTCCGGTTATTTGGTGCAGAGAAGCTACACAGAATCAAATAGGCGAGGGATGTGCCTGGGCCATATCGTAGAATCAGCCTGAGGTATGGCGCGAGGTCGCGCGTGATCACAAAGCACTCCTCCTTGCGGTTTATTTTTGGATATTTGGAATTTAACCAAAACTCTCCAATCGTTTCACGCGCTGATGTTTCGGATTTCTGTGCGTAGATAGTGGCTTTTACTTCAAAATCTTCTCCATTGTTTTTCTGCGTTCTCTGCGCGCCTAGTGGAGTGTTTGGTTTTCTATTTAAATTTACCCACTAGGTGTTCTTTTAAACGAACGCAGATTACCCGACTTATCAACGTATTCGACCTGTGGGTCACATGCTTTACAAGAGATTAGGAATACCATAACCAGACTCATGCCATTACCGCCTCTACCACAGTTTTGCGTTGTGCATGGGCATTCATATAGGGTACGAACGCCATTGTTGCCGAATTCTCTAGACCAGTCCTTCCTAAGTAACGTTTTATAACTGCACTTATTCCGTTGGCGTACAATAAGCTAACACGTGGTTGTTACAACCTATTTATTTGGCTAATATTGCGACGTCTTCCTCTTCATCAAACGGTGAGTGTTTAAAAGAAGCGGTTTATTACGCGAATGGAAATTTATGGGCCACGTTTTGCCTACTGAGGTGATAAAAGTGTTTACTTGGCTGGATAGATTACTTGTCAACTTGACCATGAAGGTCTGAGTAAATGTTTGTGTAAATACCAACGTCGTGTTTGCCCAGCGGGAAGTACAGTACATTGCATTAAAAGTGATAGAAAAAAACAACGATATCTAAACGAATTTGTCGCTATCTGAAGGTCAACAACGGCAGACACAGAGACCAGGAAAAATATTTAAACCCGTTACCCTTGCGGATATTCCAATCGCACTCGGACGAAATCTTTCTGATAGATCTACACTCTATGTCTGGAGCCTTAGCACTTTGCAAAAATATTTCTACTACCAGGTGTCCTTTTTATTGGTAAAATGTGCTGCGATTGAAAACGAAGAGACCGACGTCAGCTTCAGAACATGTTGCTACTAGGTGATTTTTCCAAGCCTCTCATTTTGAGCTTGTCACTTTTTCCACGATTACCAAATAACAGAAAACCTTATCAATCTCAACGACACATTTTGCATGCTAACTTCCATGCACAATATGACAATTCTCATTCAGATATTCACCAATGGTAGCTTCCAAATGGAATATCTCTCACCTTGATCAGTTGATGGCAATAGAGAGCCGTTCGACTTCGACAAATGCCCTGGAAAGCGTGCAGCAGTTGATCGAGGGTCTTGACCGAACCGATTTGACGTTGATTCGCTCGTATCAGGCATAAACTTATTCGAAACAGCCACAAATCGTTCCCATCATATATCATGCAGTCCCAAATGCGAAGCACCGTCTGAAATGAGAGAAGGGTGAAAATTTGAGAAGATTATGAGAACTGAAACGGATAAGACGATAACCGCTACAACTTTCGTTTCACATCACTATGAAGCTCTTTTCTACAATAGGAAATTTTTCTTAATTTCGGAACTTTGCTCAGAGTTCTAGAAAAGAAATTGCTTGCTATAATGCCTACAAGTTTTACACAAACATTGTACCAATAGAATCCAACCTCAATGTTTCTAGAAGATTCCGGCCTTCTCAGGATGTACTAGCAACGTATCCACTCAAGTTAGATTCCAAATGGCTTGCTCCATAACATACTACTTTGTACTTTACTTTCCAAAATTTGACTCGTGAGAATTAATACTTTTTTAAAGTTCATCTCTTCTCACAAGTATTCTCACAATCCATTACCTACTGATTCAAGTAAAACCTTGCAGTATTCAGCACTCACTATTGTCGTACCTCTAGAGGAAGGCTTTCAACAAACCAGCAAAGAAGCCACTTCCCAATGAGCAAGTCCAAGCCAACGTCGAGAGCTTTCAACACTCGTGCAACTTGTGGGCATTCCTCGCTTAAATCGTAAGGATTTTAGAGATGTAAATTTTCGTAGAATCTATTTGCCTAGCACAGCTGCTCTTCACCAATAAACAAAAGAAAATAATGAGGATCTTTGTGGTCTTATTATGGAAACATTTGAGGAAATATCCACTTGAGTCACAAGCGCAGTCTAGTTTATCATTTTAGGACTCTAGAAAGGCACTATTGTCATTCGTATCAATGAGCAGATCATTGGTAGCATCCCGTTCAAAGAAAAACTGATGGAATTACTAAGCTACAAGTCTATTATGGTTACAAAAACGTGAAACAACTAACTAGAGTGTCTTGCGGTTAAACCTCTAGTGTATCTATGCATAGAGTGGAACCTTCTAGCAATTGACGCTTGCATGTGGAGTGAAAGCTCCTTACTAGGAGGAATATTTGAGAAAATGAGAGTCAATAACCATCAAGAAATCCTTTCAAATTCGTGCGCACATCGGGTTCTGGAAATTCTACCCTACTGTTAGTAATCGTCATTCAATAGATCACATGACCGCAATCAAGCGATAAAATAATCAACTTCTTAATGAGTCCACATAGACATCATACCATTGACTTTATAGGAATGCATGCTCTCATGGAAACCCTCGGTTCTTGGAGGAAGAAGGCATGAATTTCTGTCCACTTATTGTTGACGTATACGACACAGAAATGTTCCTTCACCTAAACTTAGACGTATTTTTGTTCTTTGGAATGGATGATATGTTCGACGTTGACGACGAAACGAAACAACTTCAACCATATGCTAATCTTGACTGATCCCAGTTGTAACACCATCGTTGCTTTGCGTCGTTCCATCTACTTGGACAGAATAAAGGTGAATTAAGAACGTAGGCACCAGCGACCATCACTCGTTACCGATGTTGGCACTCAGACACATGCTTGGCACGACGCTCTGTGATCGGCTGAACAAACAACCGCTACCTTTCGAATACACTCATACGAGAATGAACCAACACCGCAGAATTGTCGAGGCTAACGATGTTCAAAGCCGAATTTTGCAGACACAATTTATTGGTAGGGATGGAGGAAATAGACTTTTCTAGCTCATAGCAAGAAGTGGATCTTGACTTTGTGCAGTCCCCTCTTGGTCACCATTATCTCGAAAGCTGCTTTCTTTCATGGTCGGATTTTAGTTTTATGTCTTTACTACTTTATTCTAGCACTCTGCGACGAGTACAACATTATTGATCGGTTGCCTATCTTTTCTCCCGAGAGTTGTTTACACTGAACATAAAACAAACATAAGATCTCGTCAAATATTTAGATAATGAAGGTTCATGTGGAAGATTATAACACTGGTGAACTCAGTTCACTTGAATGGAAACATTCAATATGCTGGCCTTCATTATTTTTCACAGTCTCGGTGAAAGAATAAGTAAAATTTAAGCATCTCTTAGAGGTTGGTAATGGAATAGCGAAAATATAAATGTGTCGTTTTCTTGTTCAGCAATCGCGAGGTTTTTAAACAGCATACATTTACTTCCATAGAGAAACACAATACAATACACAGAGCCTGGAAGGGTACACTGATATACAATCTACTAGGCCAAAGGCTTCAATGACACAAAAAGACGAAAAACTCCTTGGTAATTACATGATCAACAACTTCTCGAAAAAAACCCACCGCTTTTTCGTGACTTCCAATGAGGAAGTTTAGAACAGCTGATTATAGTCGCACATGGTTCATGACTGCCCCATGCCACATCAAAAATCGATGCGAACATACGGGGTCAGGTCGCGTATGATCTCTGGGCATTCATCCCTGCTATTCATTGTAGACTTTTTCGTATTTAACCAGAAAGCCTCAAGGAGTTTTCGCGCTGGTGTTTTGGACCCCTGTGCAAGGATATCGACTTTTACTTCAAAATCGTCTCCGCTATGCTTTTGTATCCCATGCGTGCCTAGTGGGGTGCTTCGTCTTAGTTTTCGTTTGCCATCTAGATGTTCTTTTATACGGATACACAAAGGTCTGCCTGTTTCGCCAATATATTCATCTCCGCAATTATTACAAGAGATCAGGTATATCGTACCTGAACTCATGCAATCACCGTCCCTGCCGTAAGGGCAAATTACTCAATTTGTTGTTTCACACAGACGATCATACAGGCGGTTACGAACTAATTGACGACGTAGAGTAGCCGGTAGTATTTCAACTATCGCTACCGATTCCTCTAGACCTGCGCTTCTTAAGCATCGTTTTATAGCTACGCCTAATTCATCGCTTATAAAAGGCAACATAAACGGGACTTTCTTTTGGCCAAGTGTTTCGCGTGGGCGCGTCGTTCTCCTTGTAAACTTATCTCGTGGGGTTACTATTTCGTAGCCATTGGAGATGGCTATTTGCCGAGCCAAGTCGCGCGATTCTTCCTTTAGATCCCTGGTAGTGCACACAGAGGTGGCTGTTCGAAACATGTTTCTCACAATCGCCCTCTTTGTGTGTGAAGGGTGGGAAGAAAGGAATGAACGAGAATGTTCTTGTTGCTTGGCTTTCGGTACCACTTTGTAAAGTAACCGCTACTTGATAGGTTTATTTGAACGCTTATAAACGGAAGCCGGTTTTTGTTCGGTCCAGGTTTTTTCTGTTTTTTGAAATAACTACCAACTCTCCCCCCTTATCACTAGCAGACAATCTTATTGTTTTCGAGTTTCGAGTTTAATTATTAATTAAGTTTATTATTATTAATTAAAATTTATTAATTAATTCTCTAATTTCTCACCAGCCGGATGTTGAGATAACAGAGGAACATCTTAGTGATGCTACTCTCTATCGCCCATCCTCTGAAAAGGAATATGAAAGTCAATACCGAAAGCTAAACAATCAATGGGTCAGCGTGGCAAAGGCTGCGGGTTTAAAATCACCGGTTATTTCGCACTTTAAAATCGATAAACCAACATGTCCCGTCCTATACCTACTTATTAAAACACATAATGACCTGATGATCTTGGGGCAACCAATCTGTCATCATTTAAGGTTAGACCCATCATCAGCTGTGTAAACGGGCCAACGGATAGAATAACCTGGTTTTTAAGCCTGATACTTACCCAGCTGATTAACCACATTCCAGCTCACCTCACAAACACCCAAATGTTCTTAGAACGTCTACGTAACGCGTCTCCCAATAACGCGTACGTGATGGAGTCTTTCGACGTTACCGCACTGTACACCAACGTGTCGAATGACTCTGCAATGCAAGCTATCTTCGAACTTCTTGTTGAACATGAAGTAAGAAAAAATATGCATAGCTTGTCCATCCAGCAGCTAATGGCTCTCTTAAAGGAGTGCCTAAACTGCTCGATTTTCAGATGGTCTGGGAAATATTTCGCGCAAATAAGGGGGTTGGCAATGGGACAGCGATTGGCACCAAGCCTGGCCATTGTGTTTATGTCTAAGATAGAAGTTCCCGTTTTCGATCTCCGGCCACTACTCTACTGTAGATATGTAGATGATTGTTTTGTCGTCTTCTCTACGCAGGAGGAGATGGATAAATGCTTTGAATTATTGAACGAGCGGTCCGAGTACATAAAGTTCACCCGGGAGAAACCGAGAAAAAACTGGCTTCCGTTTTTGGACGTTCAAATAAACCTATCAACTAGCGGTTACCTGACAAAGTGGTATCGATAGCCAAGTAACAAGAACATTCTTGTTCATTTCCTTTCTTCCCACGCTTCACACACAAAGAGGGCGATTGTGAGAAACATGTTTCGAACAGCCATCTCTGTGTGCACTACCACGGAACTAAAGGAAGAATCGCGCGATTTGGCTCGGCAAATAGCCATCTCCAATGGCTACGAAATAGTAACGCCACGAGATAAGTTTACAAGGAGAACGACGCGCCCACGCGAAACACTTGGCCAAAAGAAAATCCCGTTTATGTTGCCTTTCATAAGCGATGAAGTAAGCGTAGCTATAAAACGATGCTTAAGAAGGGCAGGTCTAGAGGAAACGGTAGCGATAGTTGAAATACCACCGGCTACTCTACGTCGCCAATTAGTTTGCAACCGCCTGTATGACCGTCTGTGTGAAACAAGCAATTGCGTAATTTGCCCTTACGGCAGGGACGGTGATTGCATGAGTTCAGGTACGATATACCTGATCTCCTGTAACAACTGCGGAGATGAATATATTGGCGAAACGGGCAGACCTTTGTGTATCCGTATAAAAGAACACCTAGATGGCAAACGAAAACTAAGACGAAGCACTTCACTAGGCACGCATAGGATACATAAGCATAGCGGAGACGATTTTGAAGTAAAAGTCAATATCCTTGCGCAGGAGACTAAAACACCAGCTTCTTCTTGAGGGTTTCTGAATAAATGCCAAAAACCCTACAATGAATAGCAGGGAGGAATGGCCAGAGGTCATACGCGCCCNATAAGTTTACAAGGAGAACGACGCGCCCACGCGAAACACTTGGCCAAAAGAAAGTCCCGTTTATGTTGCCTTTTATATGCGATGAAGTAAGCGTAGCTATAAAACGATGCTTAAGAAGGGCAGGTCGAGAGGAATCGGTAGCGATAGTTGAAATACCACCGGCTGTTCTACGTTGTCAATTAGTTCGTAACCGCCTGTATGATCGTCTGTGTGAAACAACAAATTGAGTAATTTGCCCTTACGGCAGGGACGGTGATTGCATGAGTTCAGGTACGATATACCTAATCTCTTGTAATATTTGCTGAAATGNGACGCGCCCACGCGAAACACTTGGCCAAAAGAAAATCCCGTTTATGTTGCCTTTCATAAGCGATGAAGTAAGCGTAGCTATAAAACGATGCTTAAGAAGGGCAGGTCTAGAGGAAACGGTAGCGATAGTTGAAATACCACCGGCTACTCTACGTCGCCAATTAGTTTGCAACCGCCTGTATGACCGTCTGTGTGAAACAAGCAATTGCGTAATTTGCCCTTACGGCAGGGACGGTGATTGCATGAGTTCAGGTACGATATACCTGATCTCCTGTAACAACTGCGGAGATGAATATATTGGCGAAACGGGCAGACCTTTGTGTATCCGTATAAAAGAACACCTAGATGGCAAACGAAAACTAAGACGAAGCACTTCACTAGGCACGCATAGGATACATAAGCATAGCGGAGACGATTTTGAAGTAAAAGTCAATATCCTTGCGCAGGAGACTAAAACACCAGCTTCTTCTTGAGGGTTTCTGAATAAATGCCAAAAACCCTACAATGAATAGCAGGGAGGAATGGCCAGAGGTCATACGCGCCCTGACCCCGTATGTTCGCATCGATTTTTGATGTGGGATGATGCAGTCGTCAACCATATACGACTATAATCAGCTGTTCTAAACTTCCTCATTGGAAGTCACGAAAAAGCGGTGGGTTTTTCGAGAAGTTGTTGATCATGTAATTACCGAAGAGTCTTTCGTCTTTTTGTAAGTGTTATTGAAGCGTTTGGCCTAGTAGATTGCATATCAGCATGCCCTTCGAGGCTCTGAGGAAGGTGATACCGCCGAAACGTCGGCTAGTGTTGTATTGTACTGTGTTTTTCTATGGAAGTAAATGTATGCTGTTTAAAAACCTCGCGATTGCTGAACATGAAAACGACGCATTCATTATTAGCAACCTCGTGTCGACTCAATAGAAAAGTATTAACGTGTTGATTAACAACGAGTGAGCAGCACAGTGGTAGTGATGACGATCGTCACGAATGCTTTGCTGATCCAATCCCGTTTCGGGCTCTTCAAGCCTCTCTCTCTCCAAGTCGGGTAATTGATGCCGGACCAGTCCCAGAACAGTTGACTCTCTGAAATCCAACTGGGAGCGGGCTATCTCAGAACTTCAGGGAGAATTGACTCGACCAACATTCAAAAACATTCACCATGAAAG